CAGATCAGTGAAATCAGACTGCAGGTCTGTGAACTGACACCTTTAACTATTCTCATGAAAACTGTAGACCTTAACAAACTTGACAGTGAATCGGTATCTAGGGTGGATAACCTAATTAACTTTGTTACTACAGAAGTAACAAAACGACTAGATGCTAAATTAAATGCTATTGTCTACAACGTTCCGGATAATGAGGCACTAAAAAAGGTACAGCGCATCCTACTTAGTGAGGCGAAAATGCCCAACTCCAAGACTAAGTGCTACAGGCTGAAGAAGAGTCAACATGAAAAGTGTTGTCCTATTCGTTTTCAGTTCGAAACACCTGCTGAGGCCAGAAAATTTATCCACTCCCAACACACCCCACTGCAAGCCAGAAATTACAAACTAATAAAGGTTGCGGTGGACAAGACCGTCATAGAAAGGCGCGTATATAATTATCACACTGAGTCTAACTGTGGAATAAACAATAGGACATTGCAAGCAGCAATTATACCCAACCCTTTGAGAGACACCGTAGAATCCACCGCACCACCCCTCTCTAACCACACAGAATTATCTTCTCAGAGAGCGACACCAACCGAAAGGCCGCTAAATTGTAATCTAATAGCCAATAAAACTATACCACCTACCACCGTAGATTTAGACATGTCACTAAATAATCCAAGAAAAAAAGTCAAAATCCCCCGAAAGTTGACCCTTTCCTCTCCTAGCCATAAGTCCATTGGTAAAAAAGAGAAGAATATGACCCCAAATCATGCCAACAACAACAATGGCAGTATAAGTAAGCCCACATTCCCCACGGTCAATAGTATTGGCACCCACAACGTGCGAAATAGCACCATGGCCCATACTGATAACCAACGCCAAAACAATGCCACCCTCAAGAGTACAAGTGACAATAGTCAGATCTCGACCACCAACAACTCAGGGCACACACAGTATGGCACGCTAATAAATTTTGATCGGATATACGGTACAAGTCTGCTGGGAACTAACCCACAAAGCAGTACATTCGAAACCCTTACAAGGACACCACTAGTACCTAACAATAGGTGGAATAATAGACCATGGTCTTCACAAGGTCCCAATCATTTTTTATCCCCTGCGTCCCTGTCAGCGTTGAAAAAACAGCTGGTAGGGATGCTAACACTCCTAAACCGCTAGTGCTGGCTCCCCCTTTGCATGAATGTAGGAACAGTCTAGCTCACCCGCATCCACTAAGCACACTTGGTACATGCACAAGTTTAGGTCAAATTAAGATCCCTACCCCCGTTTCTAGCTTAACTAAAAATAAAAGTGCCTTAGCCTATAGCACATCCAGTACTCCAACGCTCAATTCTTCACCGAAAACAGCACACACCAACTCGATAGACATAGGTGAACATGATGCTGAAACTCCTCTCAACATAGGGTCGTCATGTCAAACAGTACTACTGGGTGCTGAACCACATTCGGGGCTGATTGACGAACTTAAGTACTTCAGATGCTATTTCAAATCTCATCTTTACCTAAACCTCATAAATGCTAGATCCGTTCTAAATAAACTACCGATGCTCAGAGCACTCACAGTAATATACAAACCCCCTATAATTGTCATCACTGAATCCTGGTGTAACTCGAACATACTGGATGAAGAGATAAGCTTAGATAACTATACACACTTTCGGTGTGACAGGGAAGGTGGTAAGGGAGGGGGTTGTCTTATGTACTTTCTGAATGCACTTACTGTATCACAGCTAGAAAGTAGTACACTTAACATGCCTGAGACTTTATGGGTTAACTTACACTTAAATAACGCAATAGTATTAATTGGATGCACCTACAGAGCACCTGGCACCTTTAGTAATTACGAGACCCAACTTATTAATACTCTAGAACAATTATCCACCCTCCACTACGATCATAAGATCCTATGTGGAGACTTTAACTTACCAGAAATCAACTGGGAAATACCCACAGGTCCAACTAAACTTGATAAGTTCTTAGGCACACTGGATATACTTGGCTGGAAGCAGACCGTCACAACCCCTACAAGAGGTAATAACGTACTAGACTTAATCTTCTGCCACAATATAAGTCCCCTTTCTACCCTAGTAGGTTCTGAGTTTTCAGGGAGTGACCACAAAACAGTGCTGTGTGCACTGCCACTTCCGTCAAGTAGCAATGCAACCCATACCCCTACTTCACAACAAATAACTTACAGGAACTACAGTAAGGCAGACTGGACTCTAGTAAAATCAATGCTAAGATCCTCAGAATGGAGTGAGTACTTCTATACTGATAGCCTCTCGAAAGCTCTAGACATCTTTTACTATAACTCCAACACATGCTTAGATGCTGTCATCCCATTTCAAACACTAAAGTTTTCCCCACATAGAAAGACATTCATAAAGCCAAAGGATCGTAGGAAACTGAAAAGACTGTCAACAAGTTACTTCAGGCGACACGACTTTAGTACACTAGGGTCAATACTTAGTACTCTTAGCTCCATCTCGCAAGTTCATAACTTGCGTATGAGAAATGAAGAATGCACGGCACTAGCCAGCACCACCAGAGTAGGTGCTCTCACAGAAATACTAAAGAAACGAATGAATCGCCAAAGCCATAAAATTTCTCTCCTTATAAACAAGGGCAAACTATACAGCAAACATGCAGACATGTGTGAACTGTTTAATGAGACGTTTGCAGCTAACTACCTTAAGCCTACAAGTCCACTTCTCGGTTTACAATCTAAAATAGAACTCCCTTCATCTTCAACGCTGAAACAAATCACTACAGTTCATTTCACTTACTCTAATATTAACCAAGCCGTTAATACTCTTAAAAACTCTAGTAGTGCCGGTTTTGACGGTATACCATCGTATCTTTATAAACACGGTGGTTCTGACATTTCCGTTTTATTACTTAAGATTTTTACAATGTCCCTAGAAAGCCAAACCTATCCAGATAAATGGAAAACGACATTTATAGTACCTAAACACAAATCCGGATCAAAAACTGAAGTCAACAACTATAGGCCAATCAATATTACACCCATAGTATCTAGAATCATTGAACGAATAGTTAAAGATGATATCCTCAAACATATGCTCAGCTGCAATATTCTAAGTCCCAACCAACATGGATTCCTAAAATCCAGATCATGCATGACATGTCACGTTGACTTCTTTAACTACATAACTAGCAGCCGCGACAAACAACAACTAGTACTTGTCATCTACTTCGACATATCCAAAGCCTTTGACCGCGTTGACCACTTGCTTCTAATAAATAAGCTAAACTCCTTAGGAATAAGTAACCCATTATTAGGATGGATTGAATCATTCCTTAACAATAGGTCCCAAGTAGTTAGACTGGGTTCTGTAAACTCTAAACCTAGTCCAGTCACTTCTGGAGTAGTTCAAGGTAGCGTCTTAGGCCCCCTCCTATTCACTCTATATGTCAACGACATATGCAGCTGTTTCTCACTAGGCAAACCATTCATCTTTGCAGATGATCTTAAAGTAGCTTACACATTCCACTGTGATGACTTAGGGTACTTTCAGAAAGCTGTTCAGGAAGAACTAGATCGAGTAACTGCATGGTCCTCCACATGGAACCTAAAATTCAACCTTAACAAATGTGGTTGGATCTGTTTCGGTGCACCCTCAATAAACATTAAACTGGTACTTGAATCTCTTGACTTGCCTAAACTCCAAAGTGTTGTTGACCTAGGAGT